CCAAACGGCCTATAAAAAATTGGTTTGCTTGCTTTTCATTGAAACCTAAAGCTTTTTTGTACCATGAACTTAACCTGAAATATCTATTTAATTATCCACGTGCACGTGGATGTTACTTATTCGACTAAAGTAATAAATATTCGACTAAAGTTTATATGCGACAAGCAACGTCATAAAAAGTCAAACTTCACTTTCGCGATATGCAGTATCATATATCGGCAAAAATAAATCTTATGTGACGTTACATTTGTTAATTATATTAATAAACAGGAAAAAATTGTATGTATTGTTGATTAGTATTTGTGTGTTGGTAGTTTTCCACTTATAAATATTGGTAAAAAAAAGAAAATACCATCGTATCTTACGCGTTACATTGTGTTGCTCATTGAATATTTAAAATTCGTTAAATGTAATTTATTGTATCAGTAATTATCTTCAAGCTATCAATTGTCGAGTGATTACGAATTGATTTTATTCAATATTACTTTTTCTTTACATAACATCCATGCTGCATGATATTCTCAATTTCCTTCGAAGTTAATTTAATTTCACAAATTTGGCGTTTTATATTATACAAATGAGTAATTTGTTGAAGATTGAAATTAACTTGTACCAGATATCAGGCAAGTCAGGCGAAGGTCCAAAAATTTTATCATCATTACAATTGAGTTGGACAAATCCATCTTCACTAACTTGAATAATTTCTGAAAGTATTGAAATACCTTCGTTTGACAATAAATTGTATTTGATCCATGGTTAAGAAGTCCGTACAAATTAAAAATATCCTTCTGATTGATTATATATGGATGGTCGGTCAATTAATGCGTTTGATATACTACTATTAATTGTAATGATATTTTATCCTCATACCTCAAAATACCATTGGATGTTTTAAATTCCTTCTTCGGTTATCATTTCATTTGATATATTGTATTGATCAAAGCAGGGAAACAATTTCTGATGTTCAATGAAAAATATATTCTTCACCATAAGAACTGAAATTCTAGGCACCCGCCTAGACAAATCGACAAAGACAGAGCATCTGATTGAAGGTTAATTTCATAATCACTAGGAATAAGAGAACCTTTGAATATCTTGGACTGGAATGAAAGCTTACCAAGATAAC